ACAAACCAACAAAATCACTCCAAAATATCCTAAGTAAACCAAAAGACCCAGTAGCCCAAGAGGAAAAAACAGGAGTCATCTACAACATACCATGTAAGGACTGTAACAAACACTATATAGGACAGACAGGCAGAAGACTAGCAGAGCGCATCCACGAGCACCAACTAGCAGTCAGAACACATTATGAAAATTCCTTAATCTCACAACACATGGACAGACTGAACCATAGTTTTAACTGGGAAACTCTCTGCATTTTAGACCAAGCTAAATCCAAATATGCAAGAGAATTCTTGTAAGCCTGGTATTCAGACAAGGCAGCAATTAACAGACACATAAACAGCATCTACATACTATTCAAGAGAGACTAAAGACCAGAAGATCGCCTCACCAGCAATCAGTCACCAGCAATCATCACCCAGATAAGCAAAGGTTACCACCAGGCACACAATCAAGCAGTAAACAGGCTAATCAAAGAACTACCAGAGGAGCAAAACAAAACCCCCGCCCCCACCACCACTGGCAAGGCAGGCCACAGCACATAAGAGAGCAAACCCCATCCCATTTCAGCACTGAAGATGTTATCTAGTCAGGTAATGAAACGTTTGCAAGAAAAGAACCAAGCTCAGAGAACTCCAAGGACTCCACAGTTCAACCCTGAGCTACCCATATTCACCTCTATTGGTACACACATACTTAATACAGTAACTGAATACTTGCAGCTAGTTAATTGGCTGGTGTCAATTTAACGAGAATCCATGCAAATAAATGAAAGAAGAGATCAACAGTAGAAGGAATGGTGCTCCAAATTATTGTTTTAGTGTGGTAAATTTAGTTTTCAGTTTCCAAAATTAGTTTTAATTTTACATTATATTGCACAGCAACAGGAATGGAAATAAGGTAAATCCAGCAAAATTGGTTAGAATGTTGATGAATATATGTTTAACTTATTTTGAATTCAGAAAGCTTCTATATTTCATAGTAAGGGCATGCAAAATGTTCTGACAGTTGAAATTTGGATTGGTTGTTGCTGTTGTTCTGGGGTTGAAGCAAAACACATATGTTATATTTTACTCCTGGTACAAAATGAGCAATTTTCTTCTGTTCTCAGAGGTAGTTATTGTTGGGGTTGTGAAAATGTTAATTCAAAAGCCATGAGGAGGAGAGAGGATTCATTCCTACCGCGTGGAGAGCCATGAGGAGAAGAGAAGGAAAATGAGGGAAACAGGAAAAAAGGCGGGGTCCAAGCCCCTCCCACACAAAGCAGCAAAGCCACCCCTCCCTTTGTGCTTGTGTGAGACAGGCTTGGTTGAAACCCCATATTTTCCAACAATTTCATGGTGACCTTGTTCTGAATCTTCCATGCTCTTCTGTGAAGTGCAGTTGAAGGATTTTCTGTGTGTTTGTCTTGCAATTGCTGCTGTTCTTTAAAATATTGGTTTTCCATGCTGGTTAGCACAGTGGCAAACACTGCTCCAGTCCCTGCTGTTATGGGTTTTAACTAGATGGAATAATCCATGGGGTATCATTGGTGGAATGCTGGTGGTGGTGCCAAGCAGTTGGCATTCATACAGCGTATGGCTTAGGGAAGAACAGCTGTGGTCTTAACTCTGCTGTTGGAGAGAGAGGATCAGGAGTTCTGCTATTGCTGCCTGACCAACTTCACTGGGATATTTGGCAGCTTGATTCAAGTAATATCTTTTCTGCATTTACCCCATCTCATTTTAAGAACACTGAGTTCTTTGGATTTGCTTTAGTTTTAAAATAACATAGTTGTGAGTGTTAGTTAGAGATAAGAGAGAGAAAACAATCCATTTGTTTGTTTATTTATTTGTCATATTTATATAGCCACCCCCTCACGTAGTGATTCTGGGTGGCGTATAGAATAAAACAATCCAAATTGATAAAAACTTAAAAATAAAACCAAAACAAATTAAAAATATTTTAAAAATGGTGAAAAAACATACAATGTATTCAATGTAATCATCTAGCAGGCTCTAGATGCTCTCTCATGGGATCCCCAGGCCAGTTGACAAAACCATGTTTTGAGGGTTGAAGCCAGCCTCACCTGGGGGGAAGGATGGTCCACAGGGTGGGGACCGCAGTAGAAAAGTCTTTCATAGATGAAATTCCCTAGCTGACAGGACCTGTAACAATAGAAGAGAATATATGTAGCTCAGGGTTGAGCTTGGTTGTTTGATTGCAGACATTTCATTACCTGACTAGGTAACATAATCAGTGCTAGAGAGTGGGCTTTGCTCCCTGTTTGTAAACAGTAGTGTTGGTCGGGGTATGGTTTTCTCCTTGGTAGTTCCTTGATTAAGGCATTGTTTTCTGCTTGATTGTTTGTCTGGTGTTAATCCCTGCTTATCTGGGTGTAGGCTGCTGGAGAGGATGTGTTCTGGTGTTTTTGTTTCCTTCTTAGCTTTCTTATTCTCTTTTGAATGGAGTGTAAATGTGGTTTATCTCTGTGTGTCTATCGATGGCTGATGTGTCTGAGTGCCTAGCTTCCAGGAATTCCCTAGTGTTTGGATTTAGCTTGGTCTTGGATGCTGACAGTTTCCCAGTTGAAACTATGGTTCAGTCTGTCCATGTGTTGTGAGATTAAGGAGTTTTCATCATGTCTTCTGATTGCTAGTTGTTGGTGTTCATGGATGCGCTCTGCTAGTCTTCTGCCTGTCTATCCTACATAGTGGCTGTTAACAGTCCTTACACTGCATGTTGTAGATGACTCCTGTTTTTTCTACTGGGTCTTTTAGTTTACTTAAGATGTTTTGGAGGCTTTAGTTGGTTTGTGTGCTATGGTGATGCTATGTGGTTGTAATAGTCTGTTGGTTGTTTCTGAGATGTTTCTGATATACTGTATGGCAGTGTTATCCTTTTCATAGCTTGTGTTGGTTGTGCTGTAGTGGGTTGAGTGATCAGGCACTTTTTGATAAAGTTGCGTGGGTATTCATTTTTTTGGAAGATTTGTAATAGTCTGTTGGTTGTTTCTGAGAGGTTTCTGATATACTGTATGGCAGTGTTATCCTTTTCATAGCTTGTGTTGGTTGTGCTGTAGTGGGTTGAGTGATCAGGCACTTTTTGATAAAGTTGCGTGGGTATTCATTTTTTTGGAAGATGTTGTATAGGTGATCTAACATACATACATACATACATACATATATGTATATATATACATAAAATGTATATAAAATGTAACATGCCTCTTCTACTGGACCTGGTGGGATGGGTAGATGTAACTGGGGAGAGGTGTTCCCTCAAATAACCTGGTCCCATGCCATGTAGGGTTTAAAGGTCATAACCAGCACCTTGAATTGGACCTGGAAGCAAATTGGCAACCAGTGCAGTTTGCGGAGCAGAGGTGTAATGTGTGCAGTTCTTGGAGCACACATAACTGCCTGTGCTGCTGCATTTTACACCAGCTGAAGCTTCCGGATACTCTTCAAGAGCAGCTCCATGTAGAGCACATTACAGTAATCCATTCAGGAGGAGGCTAGGGCATAAGTGACTGAGAGCAGAGCCTCCTGATCCCACTACTTTTCAAGTCACCCTCCTTTACAGTTTAAAAAGGTATATCTCCCCCTTTCCCATGTGTACCCCAATAAGGTCTGCTTGCTTATATGGAGGAAATTGTTTCAATTTGGTGATGTTGTGGTGTTCTACTGTGGTCCTTGTCAGGGCAAGCATAAACACACAAATACTAAACAGAAAGTTGTCTTTATGATTTCCCTCTGTTCTCACCCAAGTTTAAGGCTAGCTAGTTACATTTATTTCTTTTAATAACATGATTCTTGAAAGTCCTAGAGTCACAGCAATACGGAAAACCTTACCAAGACAGTAGTAAGTAGTAAAATCCAGTTTTTTTTCATGAGTAATTGCTACGTGGAACTCAGGGTTCAAGCAGAAAGATTGCATTTGTACCTACAAAAAACACAGGTAAAAGTAGGTAGAAGGGGGCAGGCAGATGAATACAAAGAGGTGTATGTGCTTAAATTACTGGGCCTTATATTCAAATCTGCTAATTGTATTGATTGGTTTATGGAGCTTCGGTCTCTATGTGTGTATACTTCTTGCATTTTCTTATATCCTATTGATGTTGACTTCAGGATGTCATTAAAAGTTAAATGAACGAATTGCAACTTGGAACACTTCGTTGCAGTAGCTTCTTGGATCATTGAGCTTCAGTAGGAAGCCACCAGTGTCCTGTATCTCTTTACTGCCATCTGGTGACCAAATGTTTGCAGCCCAGATTTGGTAGCCCTATCCCATATGTGTATTTCAATATGTCCATAATACTCTTCAATATATTTTTTAAAAAGTTCATTAAGATGGAAGGAGAGAAAAGTTAATCACTCTCACATGAAAACTAGTGTTCTGAAATTTAAATATCACTTTATGTACCCTGAAAACATTAGAAATATTAAGACCAGAATAGTTATGAAAATGTTTTTTGAAAACTGAAATAGTTTTCATGATTGGAAGTTGAAAAGTGGATGACAAATTCAGTATAATATCCAGTCATATAAAACTCTATTTTTTCTATTTAAGCTTGTTTGTATCTTACATATATGAATGAATGAATGAATGAATGAATACATATTCATACTTTTTAAATAATATCTCTTCATATATATATATATATATATATATATGTATATGTGTGTGTGTGTGTGTGTGTGTGTGTATGAAGAGATGTTATTTAAAAAGGGATGAGTCTTAGAACATACGAAGTATGAAAGAAAATGTTAATAATAGGGTGAAATGTGAGGCAGTGTTTTGTTATTGTTGTTTCAGATACATTTATAGCAAATGGTTTTGAAATGTCACATTAATAAATTTTGATGGGGTTTGTACATCTGATTACAGGGAGCAGTGGCAACTTCAGATTCTTCAGGGAATTTATGTTCTGTTATGGTGGCACCATCATTATCTCTTGGGAACATTTCAGGGATAACTGCAAGCACAGAAATAAAGAAGCGGAGAGCACCTCCTCTACCAGTAATACCACCCTTTCCAGGTGGGGAGGCTGATGGAGAAGAAAAAATGCCAAGTCCGGTAAGAAACATACATTAGAAACACAAAATAAATGGTAATATTCAGCAAAATTTCCTGATCTGCAGTTGCCAGCTGGATAGGATGACAGAGAATGACCAACAAGTAGATAGTAGCAACAAATGGTTATCTTCTGATTAAATCATTTACAAAAATACTTCAGAGAAAATACAGTAGTCATGACTTGAAATCACTAGAGCATGGTCAGTGTTCAAGCTGATGCAACTGTCGTTAAAGGCTTTGATTCTGCTCTGAAGCCCTAAGTTGAGTATCAGATTCTGGGAGGAAAAGAGAGAGTGCCTTGCCCTTTGGAATTTTCTTTGGGTACAAGCTGTGCTCTCATATTGTTTCAGGAATTGATCCTTGTGTGGGAGAAGGCTTTGTAGTGGGCTTCTTCCCATAATTTTATTGAATCTCTGAAGCTACACTGACATAGACAGGAATTTCACTGTGGGTTTTTCGTTATGTGACTTGGATTTTCTGAGATCAGAGTGACACACATCACTTTCATGCACCCATAAGGATATTGAAAAAGAACTTCTGGCCAGTCTTAGTAGTGATACACATTAAAAGGCGAAGAAAATGGAGTGATCAAGGACTCACTAGAAATTAGAAGGAGATGCATTGCTGTTTGTTTTCCCATTCAAATGTCTTGTTCAGGACAATATATGACATAACATTGCTCTGTATGTTTTATGTGCTGGCATCATTTAATTTCCTGTTGACAGCACACAGGACCTTGCACATTCTTTTCAAGTTGATTTTATGGGTGTGGTGTAGCAAAGAAGACAGAACAGAATGTCTAGCTCTATCCTTGGAGACCCAGAAGTAGAACTGTTGACTTGGAGACATTTCTAATATGTCAGATCTTAAGTTTTCTTTTTAGACCTTGGGTTGTTTTTCAGTTATTCTTTTAGATATCCGTTAACATTTAAAAGACAATGCTTTTTTTCCTGCACCCTGTATTTTAAAGAACATTCCAAAAAGTAATTGTAACTGTCAGAATTCAGGAATGAGTATCTATTTTAGTTTATTATAGCACAAATATAACAAAATGAAAGATATAAGTGTAGAAGACATTAATTTAGATTCTCTTTCATTAAATGCAGGCAGTAAATATCTTAGGTTGTTTGCAAATAATAATGTAATACTGAAACCCCAAAATGGCAGCAGTTTATACCATAGGCACATTTAATTGTGGAAATGAAATGCATTGGCTGTATTAAACTTTGCAGAGTTTATTTTTTGCACTGGAAAAAGGTACTATTTCCTGAAAAAGCTACAGAAACAGCAGACAAAATTGAATAAAAACTGTCATTGTAATAGGGATTACTAGTAGGGAATAGGACAAATCTGTCAATTTTTGTTTTTCTGTTCTTATTCTGCCTCAAAATGTACATATGCAATAAAAGTGTGTGTGTGTGTGTATAACATTACTATGTTAGTATATTGTACTACAAAAATTGGAAAGCTGCAAATTTCTGTGTTTTGCTACAAGTGAAATGAAAAAAATCCAAAATGGATTTAATTTATGTTAATAGAAATTTTACTTTAATACTTTTTAAAGGTAGATGAGCATCCCAGGGCCATTTTAGAGCCAAACAAGATGTTTTAGTTACTATATGATGTATGATATATTTGTGCATTTCTCTACCCCTGTTGGATGGGGTAGAGAAATGCAGAAATATAATCTGATGTTGCTATGCATTATGCTTCCTTTATGCTAGATGTTAAAAATAAGAAAAAAACTTTCAATATGCATTTTAATAACTGACTTAAAGCAAACATGAACATTTTGCTTCTGTATCATTTATAAGACATTTCTGACATATAAAATGCCTCTATAAATAATTTCTGTGACAAAAACCTGGTCAAGCATGGTTTATCTGTTTCAGCCTTTGCAAATTATTGGTTTTCTGTAGTACAAAGATGACTTGTCAACATACTTTATACAGTAGTGTGTCCTCAAGGTGTCATCATCATAACAGAAGCAGTACTGGTGTTTGTGGGTCAGCGTCCTGGTTTTCTATACTAAAAAAAATCATCACATTACCATCACCAGACTTCCAATAACATTTTAGTAGGTGCATTTTCTTGACACATTCTTTCTCATATGGTTTTCCAGTATTCACCATTTCATTTACATTCTTGATCTCATGTAGTTACTTTATTTTTGAATGCCAGGCCCCACCTCTTTGATCTGGAATGTTCTGTACTTGGTGAGATTTTCTTGGAGACTCCAGAAACTCAAGAACCAAAATTTTCAAAGTTTGTAGTGTGAAGAACCCTTAGAATGATAAATGAATTTGTATGACCCACATCTATGAATAAAACTAATATTTTCTTTGGATTTTAATTTTCATTTTGTTTGACTGTATTGTATTTTGCATTTTAATATTTTACTGCATACCAAATATAGAGAATAGTGTTTGGCTAATTTAAACCTCTTCTCTTTCTTTCTCAAGTGGTGATGGAATGTCTAGCAGACCTGGGCACATAGAGGAGAGAGGGGGGCCATAACAGAAAAGATTCCTTAATCTAGGAAGAGGGGAAGCATGAGAAAAAGACTCTGCCTTAGTTACACTAAGTGGAAGTTGATCTGGAGAACTGCTTTGGCAGACTTCCAAGATTCTGTTATATTACCCTACCAGCAATAAAGATCATTCCAGATATCCAAGTAGTTCTTGTTTCCTGAGTTTACCACTTTCAGAGGGGAATGTTATTTTCAAAAACATTAGAAAATGCATTGGTGAATTGACACTGTGCCAGTTGTCAGGTTAGCATCACAAAAGAAAGATGACTTAAAATACAAATCTTAACATATTCACTAATTAGAATGCTATTGCTGTCAGTAAATGATGTTAAGATAAGAATCATGTCTAACTTTGCATTTCTGATTTCATTCTTCACAGTTCAACTTTCCTAATAAATTATTCTAATTTGTCACACAGTTCAAAGCACTCATATTGCCATTTGGCAGTGTGATATTAAGAATGTTTAGCTTATAAAAAAGGCACATATGGTAAATGCATATTTAAATCATAGTCTGTGCCTTTCCTCATCTAAATGGTGAGAAATGAACATGTCAAAATGTTCAAGACAGCCATTTTGAGTCAGAGTAAAACACTGAAGAAGTGTGTTTACTACCCAGTTTGCAAACATTATTGTCTAAAAATCCCTGGTTTTATAAGTGTTTTATAAACCAAATCTTCCAAAGTAAGACCCTGCCTGGAACTGCACGGTACCAATTAATGTTTGGTATGTTAAAGCTTGAAGTCCTCTGTGACAGCCTGACATACAGTAGTCTGTGCTCAGTCCATTGCAATTTGTGCTCAGTTTAGGCACTCTAAGAAATGTGCATTCATATATCTAGTAATGATATTGAAAAGGTTCTTAACTTTTCTCATCTGTGTAACTTCTTTCTAGAAGAGTAAACTCTCCTGTATTTTACCCCCTCAACAAAATAACATATTACATTAGCCTCTTTATCACTGTATGTCATCTCATCTATTTAAACAGCAAATAGTTTCTTTCTTAGCTTTTCAATTCACTGATTATTTAGATTGTCTGCTGTATTCACGGGAAAAAAGTAATTAGACAAAGAGATACAGTACATGAAAACTGTTTTGCACTAAACTCCCCCAACAGTGTTTTAAGCATATCAATTCTCCAGCTGTGTGAGGCTTTTTCCACTGGATGATTCTGTATGGAAATTGTTTAACTGGACGCGTGTTTCTTCATTTCATCTCTTCTCTTCTTTTCATCTCTTTATCAAATGAAAAAAATCTCAGGATTTGTTAGCTAAACATGCATGATTGTTTCCTGATGTCATTTTAGTTTGTTTAGCTATGCTCTCAGTGGACAGCTTTTTCTGATAACTGACACACTTAGGATGTTCTTATCCAATAACTAAAAGAGATGTAAAACCAAAATATATGTAACTTTCATGTATTGTCTTGGCTTAGGAGTATTTATATCAGCATTATTGTAGATTGCCATCTTCAGCTTTTCTTTTACCATTCAGTGGTTCTTGTTTTTAAATAATTTCAAAGATTAGAAATCTAAAATAATGGATAAAAACACTAAAGTTCTCTAACATTGGGTATCATTAAATTAAATTCACTGATAGTGAAGTTCACTTCCACAGACACTCTGAAGTTTACCGATGTACTAGATGCTGTACCAGAAGTCATCATCTGGCAGTTAGTAACACAGCACTGCAGTGATTGGCAGACCTTTCTGATAGATGGTTAGATCCACAGGCTTTGTTGCTTGCTTTGCCTCAGTGAATTTTGATAGTGCTATAGCTTTCATGTGCAAGTCATCAAGTCTCTGTCCACAAAATATATTGATTAATGCCACATCTGTGTATATCATTGCTGCTCTTACCCATGATTTTATCATGGTTGAGAGGATTGATCTAGCATACATTACTGGAACTTTGAGGGGTTGAAGCAGAGATATCCCTTGGGCCTATTTGGATATCAAGTGCTCCATCAGCCTTGACCCTGGGATAGAGAGGGTAGAGTGGTGACCGTCATCCAGGAGACTTTGCTTTCCAGAGGCACTGTTCTGTAAAGAGCTGGGTATGAGGCCTTATATGTGAGGTTGGGCTGATGGGCCAAACTGTTATATTGTCCTCCTTGCTGCACAACTCCTATCCAGGTTACTGGACCTCACTGCAAGGTTGGTGCTGGAGACCCCCAAACTTGTGGTGCTGGTGGACTTCAAATTACTGTCACTTGGTGAGGAGGAAGCCCAGGAATTCATTGTCACTATGTCAATTATGAGCATGTCCTAGACCTGACTCATGTATTAGGCTACATGCTAGTCCTGGTTTCTATTTAGTTTTTTTAAAAATAATTTTATTAAGAATTAAAAATAGGGTAAAAACAAATACTATCTACAAATAATGTAGAAATACAAAAAGAAAAATACAAAAAGAAGAAAAGTGTAGGGAAAAAAAAGAAGAAACTTGTCAGGCCCAGCCCAAGAATGAAACA